AACATCTCCCAAAATTTCTCTCTATCCTGTATACTTTTCACTTTTCCAGGTGCATATGTACAGTAATTCTTACCGGGCCTTTCAGAACTCCATAGCAGAAAGAGATATAAAAAATGTACACTTTTTATAATGTATTAAATTTTATCAGCTTAATTCACAAATATTCCACACTTAGTATTGCAGTTCTTAAGTTCATACAGCATCTTCCTTGATTACTTTTTTACTTAGCAGTCCTGGAAAAGGAGCACATAAGTAAAAGATCCCATAATAATTGAGACAGAAAGAAAGATGAAATTGTAATCCTTGATGGATAAATGTTACATATACTCTAGTGGATAGATAAACTGTATATGATTTTTATTGTTCGTAAATTATCACTGACTATCCATAATAATTAAAAAATAATCATTATTCCTTATTTTTGTTTTGGCAGTTACGATCAATGTCACAGGTGAAAGATCGTCTGCACAAGTTCATCATGAGTCACTTAGCACGCGACCGTGTTCCTCTGTGTAATCAACCCAATGTCTGCAGCATACAAGAGCTTTGCCAGGTTAGCTTGAGCTTATAATTCACAAATATAAGCGGAATTGTCCATAGTTGCTGTAGTTATTCTTGTAAACCTTTAAAGTAATTGTCTTAGAATGAATCTTAATAGACATGTCATTCTTCTGTGTAGAAATTTCTGCCTGTGTGAGGATATTTTTGTATAATTTTACACAGAAGCAATTTCTTCAGATGCACTAGTTCGACAGTTAGTTATCCAGTAAGTGGTTGCATATTTATTGACTTTTAACCCCTGAATCATCCTCTTTCCCAGGCCCTCTCTCTCCCTCCCTCCCTCTTATCAGTACCTGTAATGTCCACCTCTCTTTTCCCAATCTCTGGAGTGCCTTTTTTTTTTTTTTTTTTTTTTTTTTTTTTTTTTTTTTTTTTTTTGTTACTAATCCTCTCTCAGTAACTGAAGTTTGTGATGAGTACTGGTGTGATTATTCCTTGAGTTCATTTGAGTAGATGAAAAATGTTACTTAATATTATGTAATTAATTTGCATGTAACAGGCAAACCTCGCTGAACTTTGGTGGTATATTCTTGAAAGCCAAGATTTAAGGTGGGGAAACATATAGGTGTACTAGTTTGAGCAGAAAAATATATGGCCCTACATTCAATTACAAATGCAGTATACAGTATTATAAATAAGAGTTTTACACTTGCCAAATATTCATCAGAATGCAGCATATTGTATTTTGGTGTTGAAAGGTGATAGGGTTTGGTGTTAGTAGGTTGGTGGGAGATGGGGGAATCAGCCACCTCTTCATCTGATGATGAAGCTGAAGGACGAGAGCTCCTGTTCTGGTGTGTGACTACCAAACTTGAAGGAAAAATACTCTACTGATGTTTGTAAAGCTTGCCCCCCTTTTTTTTGTTTTGTCCTCTATTCAGCTTCATGGAGTAGAGAAGATTGCTGTTAAATCCCTCAGCAACTCCAACAGCTGAATGTATGGTTGCCTCATTTTGTAAAGATTGTTATTATTACTTCTGTGACAGTCTCTAATAACCTCTGTTGAGTGATTTCATAAATGGCAGATGTTCCTTCAACAGCCTTTTTATCTAGCAGTGCACCTCATTCTTGTTTGTACTGCAGCTACAGTGGCTTTCAACTCGCCACTAGAGGAAGTGTTGCAGGCATACAATAAAGGCCTTTCCACTGAGTAGCTACCTTCAGTATGAACGAGAATGAAGTGTACTGTCCGATCACAGGCTGCTAAAGCAATACCTGCCTCTTGTGAAATTGCTCAACAGAAGTTCTGTGAAAGCTGATTGGTATTGATCATAATTGTTGAAGCTTCATTGAAACTACTGATGTCATTACCCCATTCTCATCGCATTGTAGCAAATGTTACTTCTTTCCATGAGTTACTGCTGTTGCAAATTACTTCTGTGATGGTGTAACTTTGCCAGAATTTCTTTAATATTTGCTCAGTGGGTCTATCTGGTGATAAACTGAGACAGAAATTGTCTAGTTCTGTATAATAAAGCATAAATGAGGCTAGAAAATTTTCATCCATTGGTGGAATCAACAAAAACATGTTTTGAGGATTAACTTGACCCAAATAAATTTTGAAATATCAAAGTAATTAAATGACCTATAAAATTATTCAGTAGGCAGTGATGCTTTTGACACAGTATGTTGCAACAGTTATAGAGAAATACTTAGTAAACCAATCTTCAGATATTCTTGGTTACCCAGGCTTTCTAGTTTGAGCACCAGAACACTACAAAATTGCTGTTTCAGAATGATTAACTAACTTAGACTTAAAATGTCCAGGAGCACAAGACACTCCCTAGAAGTCTTAAAATCTTGAAAATGCTTCTTTTCAGCAGATATAAAGATTTTTTCTGGGATTTTCTTCTAATATAAGATTCATCAGTAGTAAACATTTGAAGTGTAGCCACCTTTTATTGATTTCAGGAACATATTCTGAAAATTAATTGCTGCTTATGTGTCAACACTGGCTACCTTGCCAATTTTATTAAGGTTATTCTTTTTATGACTCGTCTCATACCCATCAAACCTGCCTCTGCTAATACTGAATGTTTTCATTCTTGAACACTTACTTTTTGATTCTTTAGTTCTTAACCCGTAAACGGTCCAAACGTATACGTATATACGTTCTTACCGCTAGTGCCCCAAATATATATAAATGTTTTATTTTTGTGACTAGTTAATGGTCAAAAATTATCACATGTTTTCTCTTATGTGTGGGTTATTTGTGTATTGTTCCAGTCATGGTATTATGCCTTTTTATTCTTTAAGAAAGAAGATGTACCAAAAGAATATTAGACAGCTCTTCATGGTATTGTGCCTTTTTATTCTTTAAGGAAGAAGATGTACCAAAAGAATATTAGACAGCTCTTCATAGAGAGGTAGAATAATGACATGGATTACAAGAGGAAATAGTAAGTGCTACAACCACTGGAAATTTAAAAAAAAAAAGTTGTATAATGGATTAAATGCTGTAGCTAGGACACTACAGGCTTATCTTCACTTCTGTAGCTACAAATAGATAGCTATAGATTTGCTTTCTTCCTTTCTTATTTCTCTTCCAATGGGTAAGCGTAATTTCACATGGCTTACATATACAATTTTGTATGAATCAAGTTTTTTGAATAATTTCACCTTGTCTTGTCTAAAATACTTGTCAATAGCACACGGGATGGGGTAGCTTGCAGCTGGGAAGAGATTAGGAGTGGAAAGTGGGATATTGCAGCAGTGGGCTCTGATGGTAGAAATTAAGCAAAGGGAAGGTTATGGCTCACTACATAGTGAGCCTTGGGTTATACAATTTGCCTCATTTGGTGGCATTGTGTGTGCACCATGTGACCTGCCAATTTCAAAGTTAGCTTACATATAGCAGCATTTAGGATGAGTTCCAAATATTTATTGAGTGTTAAAGAAGTAGTAGTGCAAAAGTACAAAAAACCATTGCCGGTTCTTTAGAGAACAAATTTATTTTATATGCCCCTTTGAAGGTAGAGAAAAAGGCTTTAAAACCACTTAAGCCCCTGGTTTTGCTTCAACAATTGTAGCCACAGTTCATGTCCAAAAGGGATAAAATTCTAGCCTGTGCTAAATCTGCTATACCAAGAACTACTTCTATATTAATGTTACATAATTTACTGGATAGTATGGAGGAACTGTTAAGTGTTTGGATCAAGGTACATAACCTGAAGTACATCCTAGGGAATAGGTAGAGAATTATGGAGATGGCAAATTGTTTGCAGAGTAATTTAAAAAAAAATAAAAACATGGTGGGAGTTCAACAGTGCTAGTTCAAGGTGGTTTTACAGATTTAAGCAGCATATCCAAATGAATACTGTTACAATATATGGTAAGGCTGCAATTGCTTGCAATGAAGCCATATTAATAAGATTAAGGAAGGAAAGCACACATCTGAACAGGTCTTTAATTCTGATGAAATTGAGTTTTTTGGAAAATACCAGAAAGAGCCATTTTATCCACTGCTTTGAAAAGTGTTTCCAGGTTAAAAGGATCTCCTAAAGCTTCTTAAATGGGCAATGCAGCTGAAGATTTTAAGTTTAAGTCCTAGTTAGTATTCCATGCATAAACACCAAAAATAGCTTGTCTGTAATATTGTGCACAAAGAAGACAGCTTGAATAACTATGTTGGAAGAATGGTTTACTATATATATTTTGCCTGGCTGTTGCAAATGAGGGAAGGATGAATAATATAGTTCACATTACCATAAAACAAGGGATATAGGAAAGCATTGGTTTGGCAGTAGAGTTGTAGATGAGTGGAACAAACTGTAAAGTAGCATCACCAAAGCAAGCATTTTTCGGACTATGGTGTTTGTTTGGGTGATATTTTAAAACTAGTTAAAGCTGAGTTTCTGTACAGAACATTTTATCCTTAGTTCGACTACTGGATCGAAATGCTATAGACTCATTTATGAACAAAATCCGGCTAAGTCAACATTAAAAGATTCCTGGTAAGGTTACATCATCATGGAAAGAGATCACGTTGAATACTGCATGGAGAAATCTCTGGCCTGAATGTGTACATGACTTCAGTGGCTTTGATGTAGTTTCAGAAATGATGAGAAAGATTGTTGATCTCGAGACAAATTGGGCTAGAAGAAATTAATGAGGCTACTTTGGAGATGTTGCATGGAGGTGGAGAAGACCATTTTAATTGGAAGATGATGCAGTTTCAGTATGAGGGAGCATAATCACTAAATGTGGCTAATTCTGAAATTAGACTTCCTCTCATCAAATTTATTATGCTGAGGCTGTCAAGAGGTTATCAAGATCATAGAGTTGGCCATGGCATCCTTTACAGAATTTGATCTAAATTGATCACATAGCTGTAGAGTCACTGAGGAGTTTCAGCAATCAATTCAGTGTTACATGAGAATTTACAGAAAAAAGGAAGCCTGAGCATTAGAAACATCAGTAGATAAGTATTCCACTGCCAGCCTCCTCTCTACAAGTCGTGCAACTCCAAACAGGAGTCGTCATCCTTCAGATACCTCAGATGAAGAGGTTGATTCATCTCAACACCCCTCTACAAGTCATGCAACTCCAAACAGGAGTCCTCCTTCAACTTCATCAGCAGACGAAAAGGCGGATGAATTTGTCACTCTCACACCCACCAACTAACTCCAAATCTTCACCTTTCAACGCTATGACATGAAATGCAAGATATCAACGCATTTTGGGTGAGTATTAATTAAATGTTTTATAACATACAGTATACATTTTTATTCAAAATATGCACAACAATTATGTATATGGAACTACTTATGATTTTTTTGAGATATAGTTCAAGTGGAAAGGGAACCTCTTTCAGAGTTACCTCTGAAATTTGCCTTTTTGAGAACTGACTCAGTATTAAATGAGGCTTGTCTGTACTTACCAAAATCATGCTTTGTTCCATATTTGAAGGGCATGGCAGTTGTAAATATTTTTTTTTTTTTTTTCAAAAAACCGGCCATGTCTTACCAAGGCAGAGTGACCTAAAAAGAAAAACGAATTTTTTTTTTTTTAACTTTAATAATTCATAAAGGAGGGATTACTACCCCCTTGCTCCCAGTTGTAGATAGTATATAGTTTTTAATAGAAATTTCAGTGGTGCAGGAGTCAGTGTACTGCTGGTAGAAGAGAAAAACCCATATGAAGACAAAAACAAGGAAAAATAGTTGTCTTTATATTTTGACCTCCAGCTGTGGTCCTCTTTATTTGGAGGTTGAAATATGCATACAATTATTCTTCATTGTGTCTCCATGTGGTTTTTCTCACCCTTTGTTCATTACACTTTGATGCAGCAACATTAATGTAATGTTGGTAGATTTGACTGGATTACTTGTGAGTGGTTGTCACTATGATCTTGTGTATCATGTTTCACTAAATCACTGAAAATATTTCTGTTAGTACTGTGTATAAGGCATTGCATGGCAGAAAAGAATAAACACTACCATGACCAAAGTCCAGCTTAGTCGGTGAATTCATTCCTTAAGGTTTTGTCTGCTTGTGAGAATGTGTAAATATTGGCTTTTGTAGCTGTAAGTTAGGCTCGGAGTTCCATAACAAAGTATGGTAACTTGAGCTTCATAGCTCCATCCTCCTCATACCTGTGCTTTTCTCCATTGCTTGAATTCTTTTCTGCTGCACAGCATCTCGTACATTATTTCAGTATGTGTCAACAGACCATTTTTCTCACTGCTAATAACAATTTTCTAATTCCATGCCTGAATTTGAAATTATGTAGTGAACTGAGTGAGACAATACAGTAGTCCCCCATATCTGCTGGGGATACGTTCCAAGACCTAACGCGGATACCCAAAACGTGGATAGTAGCGAACCCTATATTTAAGTATTGTTTGCTTACATACATACGTATTTACGATAAAGTTTAATTGATAAATTATCACAATATGCCGAGAATTAGCACTTCGTGGCTTCTCTTAGGCTTTGAAGAACTGTCACTATCACTACTTTTGCACTTTGGTGTCATTATTAAGCAAAATTAAGGGTAATTTTTGGACCATGGTAAACCACAGATAACTGAAACTGTGGAAACCAGACCCACAGAGTGGATGGTCCTCTGTATTTTTTTTTTTTTTTTAAAAAGGGTCG